GAAATATTGTTATAATATTCAAGAGTCTGTCGCTTCAACCTATATTAAATATTGCAAAAAAATATTACTGCAATATTTGTGTGCTATCTGGGTAGAGCATAAAATCAAGCTGGGCATAGAAAACCAAATTGCGGAAATCAAACGCATGGGTGGCATTCAGAAATTTGAATTTTATTTGTAAAGATAAAAAGATACCCAAGGTCTGACACAGTTCAACTAAGAAAGGAAGAACTTGACTACAAAATGTTAAATTTTCTGATCGAAATCGAATACGAAGCCACAACTCACAACGGATTCGAGGCTGCCTGAGGTCTAGTGGGAACAAATGGCTTTAGTCACAACTGCAGGTATTCACGGATTATCATGTTCTTACGAAAAAGTCTATTTGGGATCAACAAAAAAAATCAGTTGAAACCAGAATGGAGGAACGTCAAACAAATTGTAGATTAGCACAAATGGAAAAATTTAAAGCGGCGGAACATGACCTCAACGAAGGAATATTCAAGATAAAATTAGCAGAAACAAGGGGCTACCGCCCTCGACTAATAATACAGGCCATTGTAAACTATAAGCAAAATAACAGCGTCAAGCGTAACAAAGTGAACAGGAAGATGACGACAAACCGACCACGAATGAAAGGCACCTACAGACGGTCTCCTGCTTGCGAAAGGTCAGGAAGTAATTCTTCTAAACGATGACTTTTGCTTGTTAATATCTACTCCTTAAGTTAAGAAATATAGCCTTAATAAAACACCCTGTTTAATTGGATATTTGGTCAACAGATGCGTGCACGAGTACATGGACATCTACTCGGAGGTGACGCAGCCGGAATTGAACGAGTTGGTGCACTCGCCCTTTGGTGGACGCTACTGCGGCCCTATCCCTCCCCGCAGCAGAGTTTCACTGTACCGAGCGCTCGCTTTCTCCTTCCATTCGGACAAGAATATTTCGATTCCCGACCTGTTTGCAGGCCGGTATTCCTTCATCAACGACTGTAAGTACCCAGCCATTCGACCTGTTTCTATATATTTTCGTACTCCACCCTTTAAAAGAATTTACCACAATTTTGAATCACCATATACAGTGATTCTCCCGGGTGACAATAAAAAAAAGGATGTTAGGCCTAATTAATTTTAGAATGTTTTAAAGTGTTGCAATTGTGATGTATTTTAATGTGTGATATGATGAGGCTGTTGACGAACTATGGTTGTTTTTTTAAATTAATAAAAAAATTTTTTTAACTATGTTATTTTGGAAAAACTGATGATGGTGGAAAAATACACCGAAACGCATTTTAATTGATAAATAAAGACAATAAATGACTGAAACCCAGGAATTAATTTTGATTTGGAATTGAAACACAGTCAGGAAAGTATATACA